TTGCTGAAGGTGTTTATCAGCTGCAAGAGTTCCCTGGTAGAGTTTTTTGGGCCACTTATGTAAACTATCATATCATCTGCAAATAGTGAAAGTTTTACCTTTTCCTTTTCAATTTGTATCCCCTTGATCTCCTTTTGTTGTCTTATTGTTCTAGCTAGAACTTCCAGTACAATATTGAAGAGATATGGGGAGAGGGGACAGCCTTGCCTTGTTCCTGATCTTAGAGGAATTGCCTTGAGTTTTTCTCCATTCAGGTTGATGTTGGCTGTTGATTTGATGTATATAGCTTTTATGATGTTTAGGTATGTACCTGTTATCCCTGATCTCTCCAAGACCTTAATCATGAAGGGGTGTTGGATTTTATCAAAAGCTTTTTCAGCATGTAGTGAGATGATCATGTGATTTTTGTTTCTCAGTTTGTTTATATGGTAGATCACATTGATGGATTTTCGTATGTTGAACCATCCCTGCATCCCTGGAATGAAGCCTACTTGATCACGGTGAATGAGGTTTCTGATGTGTTCTTGGTTCCGATTTGCCATTTTTTTATTGAGTATTTTTGCATCAATGTTCATGAGGGATATTGGTCTGAAGTTCTCTTCCTTAGTTGTGTCTTTGTGTGTCTTGGGAATCGATGTTTTTGAAGCCTCGTAAAAAGAGTTTGGCAAAGACCCTTCTGCTTCTATTGCATGGAATACTTTAAGGAGAATTGGTATGACTTGTTCTTTGAATTTCTGGTAAAATTCTGCTGCACTGCAGTCATCTGGCCCTGGGGTTTTTTTTTTTGTTTTGTTTTGTTTTGTTTTTTTGTTTTTTGTTTTTTTTTTGGTTGGGAGACTTTTGATGACTGCTTCTATTTCCTTAGATGTTATAGGACTATTTAAATTGCTTATCTGTTCTTCATTTAATTTTGGTAAATGATATTTATCCAGAAAATTGTCCATTTCCTTTAAATTTTCAAATTTTGTGGAGTACAGCTTTTCAAAATATGACCTGATGATTCTCTGGATTTCCTCGGTGTCTGTTGTTATGTCTCCCTTTTCATTTCTGATTTTGTTAATTTGCATGTTCATACTCTGCCTTTTGGTAAGTTTGGATAAAGGTTTGTCTATCTTGTTACTTTTCTCGAAGAACCAACTCTTTGTTATATTGACTGTTTGTATTGTTTTCTTAGTTTCTACTTTATTGATATCAGCCCTCAATTTAATTATTTCCTGGCATCTGCTCCTCTGGGGTGAGTTTGCTTCCTTTTGTTCTAGAGCTTTCAGTTGTGCTGTTAATTCTCGAGTGTGACTATTCTCCAGTTTCTTCATGTGGGCACTTAGTGATATGAACTTTCCTCTTAGCTTTCCTCTTATCTCATAAGTTTGCATATGTTGTGTCTTCATTCTCATTGAGTTCTAGGACGTCTTTAATTTCTTTTTTTATTTCTTCTTTGAACCAGGAGTGGTGCAATAGTGTATTATTCAATTTCCATGAGTTTTTTTTAGGTTTTCTGCAGTTTGTGTTATTGTTGAATTCTAACTTTAAGGCATGATGGTCTGATAAGATACACGGAGGTATTCCAAATTTTTTTGTACCTGTTGAGGTTTCCTATGTTGCCAAGTATGTGGTCGATTTTTGAGAAGCTTCCGTGTGGAGCTGAGAAGAAGGTATATTCTTTTGTGTTTGAATGGAGTGTTCTATAGATGTCTGTTAAACCCAATTGGGTCATAACATCTATTAGGTCCTTCGTATCCTTGTTAAGTTTCTGTCTTGTGGTCCTATCTAGTGTTGAGAGTGGGGTTTTGAAGTCTCCCACTACAAGTGTGTGAGGTTTTATATGTGCTTTGAGTTTCAGTAATGTTTTTTTTACGAACATGGATGGCTTTGCATTTGGGCCATAGATGTTCAGAATTGAGACTTCATCTTGGTTGATTTCTCCTGTGATGAGTATGAAGTAACCTCCTTCATCTCTTTTGATGGATTTTAGTTTAGAAGTCTAATTTATTAGATATTAGGATTGCTACCCCACTTGTTTCTTGGGTCCATTTGATTGGAATATCTTTTCCCAACCCTTTACTCTGAAATAACATCTGTCTTTGAAGCTGAGGTGTGTTTCTTGTATGCAGCAGAAGGATGGATTCTGTCTTTGAATCCATTCTGTTAACCTGTATCTTTTTATGGGTGAGTTAAGACCATTAATATTGAGGGAAATTAATGACCATTGATAGCTCATTCTTCTTTGTTTTGAAATGGTTGTTGTTGTTGGTATTGTATGTGGATTTCCACCACTTTTTCCTTTTGCCTGTTGGTAAAGTGGGATTATCTATTGCCTATGTTTTTCTGGTAGTGGTTAACTTCCTTGGGTTGGAGTTTTCCTTCCAGAACTTTCTATAGGGCTAGGTTAGTGGATATGTATTGTTTAAATCTGGTTTTGTCATGAAATATCTTGTTTTCTCCATCTATATTGATTGAAGGCTTTGCTGAGTATAGCAGTCTTGGCTGGCATCCGTGGACTCTTAATATTGGTAGAATATCTATTCAGGACCTTCTGGCTTTCATAGTTTCCATGGAGAAGTCAGGTGTAATTCTGATAGGCTTGCCTTTATATGTAACTTGGCCTTTTTCCCTAGCTTCTCTTAATATTTCTTCTTTATTCTGTATGTTTGTGGTCTTGATTATTATTTGTCGAGTGGATTTTTTTTTTGGGTCCACTCTATTTGGTGTTTTGTAGGCTTCTTGTACCTTCGTTGGCATGTCTTTTTTTAGGTTGGGAAAGTTTTCTTTTATTATTTTGTTGACTATGTTTACTAGCCCTTTGAGGTGGGTTTCTTCACCTTCTTCTATACCTATTATTCTTAAGTTTGGTCTTTTCATGGTGTCCCATATTTCCTGGATATTTTGTATTAGGGATTTGTTGGACTTAAAATTTTCCTTGGTCGATGAGTCTAATTCTCCTAGTGTATCTTCAACACCTGAGATTCTCTCTTCCATTTCTTGTATTCTGTTGGTTATGCTTGCATCTGTAGTACCTGACTGTTTTCCCAGCTTTTCTATTCCCAGCATTCCTTCAGACTGTGTTTTTTTTTTTATTGTTTCTATTTCAGATTTCAGCCCTTGTACTGTTTGAATTGTTTCTTGCAATTTTTGATTTGTCTTTTGCTCCATTTCTTGCATTTTTTTGGATTGTTTTTTCTTCCATCTCTTTAAGGGTTTTCTCATATCCTCTTGGAGGGCCTCTATCATTTCCATGAAGTTGTTTTTATGTCATTCTCTTCTAGTTCATTTGTGATGGGTGTTCCAGTCTTGTTGGTGTAGGGTCTCTGGACTCTGGTGGTGTCATATTGGTTTTTCTGTTGCTCTTTGTGTTTTTATATTGTCTCCTTCCCATCCGTTCTTGCTGTGGGTTTCAGAGGGTGCCTCTTCCTCTACTGATGGGTGTGGGACCAGGGTTCTCTTCTGTTGGGTGTCGGCAAGTCCACTGTTCTGGTAGCTCTCCACTTCCTGGTCTCGTGGGTGGAAAAATGGACTAGGATGCTGGGGTGCTTTGGATCTCACTTGGATGGATGGGAGCCCCAGTGGTATACCCCAGGCACAGGAGTGTAGTTTGGAGACAGGCCCTGTTAGTCTTTGTCACGTGGGTGGAACAGGAGACTAGGATGCTAGGGTGAGTTTTCTCCTGCCTCTGGGATGGAAGCCGCTATGGCAGTCCTGGAGCACAGGCATCCAGTCTAGTTCTAGTTATGTGGGTGGAGCCGGAAACTATGGCACCTTGGCTCCTGCCGCCTCTGCCAGGATGGAAGCTTCAGTGGCAGAGCCCAGGCCCAGGCAGGCGGTCCGGAAATGGGCCCTGGTTTACCGAGTTTATCTGCTTTATGTTGGCTACAGGCATGGTCTTTGCTGGACACCAAAAGGAAGCCTTGAGTAAGGCATTCCCCACACTTGCAGCAAGTGTAATCACTACTTACTGGAATCATACTTGTATAGAACGAACTCACAGAGATCCGCCTGCCTCTGCCTCCCGATCTTATGTATGCCAGACAACTTCCCTAACCCTGAGCTATATATCCAACTTCTGGCACTCCTTTGAGATTTTAAAAACTTTATGTTTCATTTAGTTACATTCTTTACTCCCTATGTAAAATTATGCATAGTGTATTTTTATATTTTAGCATTTTTATGGTTAAATAACTATTAAGTGTGAGTATGCATTGACAGAATGACACTCTGGACAGGTTACAGTGATTATTGAGTTGTGAGACCTATTTAATAGCAATACAAATTTGAGTGCATTGTTTAACTGATCTGGACATGACATTGCTTACCTAGTAGAGCTATTAATAGCCTAGAAATTAGAAAAAAGCTGAAATTTAGAGCTTTTGGAAAACTTTTTTCAAATAAAGTAGTATTGACAAGATTCCTGAAGCTGTGTTAACACCAGGAAGCATATATAGTAGGTAATAATTATTAATAATATATTAGATAACATTGTCACCAGTATGATAGAACAGTTAGTAATGAGGTTTATGAATCTTGAGGCCCAGGGTATTTTAAAAATTTATTTTGTTAATCTGTCTTGATATTGAGAGAACATAGTACGTTTTTCGTATATTAAAAGTACTTTTATTTTATTTACCTGGGTTAATTTATTATTATCTATGGTTTTGGAATAATTATAAGGCAAATAAAACCTTTTATCTTTCTAATAACTACATCTTGCTACCTTATCAATTTATTAACTTTTAATAAATTAATTGCACTTTTAGGGCAATTTCTGATCTTGGTTATTTTTATTTATGAAATAAAGACCTGAGAATTTTGATAACTTATTTTTCTGAATTGTAAATAATTTTGTTGTGTATCTTGGGTTTTTATTTATTGTGTTCTAGCAAAAATTAGCAAAGCTATTTGTGAGTATAAAACTTAGATTGTATAGTTATTATGAAAAGGTTTTGCTCACTGGGCTTCTGTGTTCTTGATACCTTATTTTTCCTTTTCTTTTTTCCCAATATTTTCAGATGTTTTGGAATGTTATTAAGTCCAGGTCGAAACGTGAAGAACAGTGACATGCATTTACTGGATATGGTAATGACAACCTTAAGCATCCTAATCATGTATAGAAGACAGTTACTTCATATTTTAAAAAACCCATTTTAAAAGTTTGTCATATTGTTCGGGTTTAATTTTTTATGAGCAATAATTAAATTTAAATACTCAAAATTACTTATGAAGGGAAGATAGGAAATTTCTACCTAACAATCTTCTGTAGGATGAAAGTACATAAATGGAACTTGTTGTCATAGTGCCATCTATTTTGTTTGACTTCTTAGGAAGATGTCTTTTTCTTGAGCCTAAAATACAACATGGTTATAACAAACATCTACAACGTTTACCTCCAACTTTCACTAATTTAATGCACTGTCAACTCAGGACTCTGATGATGCTTGTTTTCTTTGAAGCATCTTCCTTTCCAAGTTTGTACTTAGCAATGAGTATTTACTATATTTCTTTAAGTAATGCCTTTAAGAGATTAATGATATATGATCAGGGATTGGTATTTGTTGTGAAGACAGCAAGACATCTTACCTCTTAAACCCAAGTACCTTCTGATGTTGCTGTTAATGAAAACATTCACTTTGTGATTTAGAATGTTACAGAAATGTGTCAGAGTAGGCAGAAAATTCCTTACTTTATGAGTACAGACTTTTATATATTCTATATATTTTTATATATTTCCTTTCAACTGTGTCTCACAAATTTAAGTATTACAGTGGAAAGCTTTTCCTGTAATTATTTCATGGTAATTATATCAGCATTAATTTTCTAGCAATACTGGAATGCTTTGTTCAAAAATTTGGGCATCTATTTGTATGCTAAATATTGTATGAAGTATTGGGATTTTAGATTTGTGTAAAATATAGCTCTTAGTAGCCATGGGCTTCTAGTCTTGTGATGGAATCAGATCTTTAAGTGTGTATTTGCAGCAGTGGGTTAAATGCTTTTTCAAGTGTATAGTGTGCTATCTTAGTTAGGGTTTCTATTGCTGTGAAGAGACACCATGACTATGGCAACTCTTACAAAGAAAAACATTTAATTTGAGTGGCTTATAGTTCTGAGGTTTAGTCTGTTATTATCATGGCAGGAAGCAAGGCAGCATAAAGGCAGACGTGGAGCTGGAGAAAGAGCAGGCAATAGTAAGTGATCTGTCTCACTGGGCGTGGCTTGAGCATATATGAGACCTTAAAGTCCACCTCCACAGTGACACACTTCCTCCAAGAAGACCATACATACTCCAACAAAGCCACACCTCCTAATAGAACCACTCTCTTTGGGGGCCATTTTCTTCCAAAGCGCCACATTTGCCATGGACATAGAGAGGAAGTACTGCTTAGATCAGTCAGGCAAGGACAACCAGTTACATCGAACGTGTAAGCATAAATTAGTTATTGATCCATCTCTTCTTTACCCTTCTCTACAACATATCAGTAATGAATGTTGGTTTTCCTAAAGCAAACTATAGTATTTTGGAGCCATGAGAATTTCATGATGGGATCATTTTGAGAGTACTGAAGCATTAGAAAAAGTATTAAGGCTGGGTGGTGGTGGGATACGCCTTTAATCCCAGCACTTGGGAGGCAGAGGCAGGCGGATCTCTGTGAGTTCCAGAAAGAGCTAGGACAGTCTTCAAAGCCACAGAGAAACCCTGTCTTGAAAAAAAAAAAAAGGTATTAAGATACTAGGTCTAGTTATGGTGTTTCAGAATCTAAAGGATTAAGATGAATCATCGTTAAAGATTTTCCTCATAAAACCTAAAAACAGGTTATAGAGTTATATAAAGCTGATTTGAACTTTTGAGGCCCCCTAGCCACCTCCAAGGCTTTTATAGTATTTATTTTCCTGGAAAGAGAAGTGGACCTGCACAGCTGGGAGAGCTGGGCTTCGCATTTTTAATTAACAATAGTAGTGATTTACTGTTATCTGGTGTTGTTGATCTTGATAATATCTTAGTAAGTTGTCGCTGACCTTTGACTAGGTTCTGGCTAGTAACAAGGAACTCAGTACCGTATATTGAAACTGAGGAGGTGGTTCTGGTTATTGACAAGTTATTCTTTGTTTTTTTTGTCTTTTTTATTTTTAAATTTAAATTAGAAACAAGGTTGCTTCACATGTCAATCCCAGCTCCCTCTCCCTCCCCTCCTCTCATGCCCTCCCACCAATCCCCTGCCCTCCTCCCCCAATCCCCATTCCTTTCCCCAGGGAGGGTGAGGCCCTCTGTTGAGGGTCTCCATAGTCTGTCATTTCATCCCGGGCAGGGCCTAGGCCCTCCCACAAGAGTCCAGGCTGAGAGAGCATCTCTCAATGTGGGATGGGCACCCAAAGACCATTTGTATGCCAGGGATAAATACTGATCTACTACCCAAGGCCCTACAGATTGGCTTTGCCTAGGCCTCCTCACTGACATCCACATTCAGGGGGTCTGGATCAGTTCCGTGCTGGATTCCTAGCCATTAGTCTGGGGTTCAAGAGCTCCCCCTTGTTCAGGTCAGCTGTTTCTGTGGGTTAAACAAGTCCAGTATTGATCCCTCTCTTCGACAAGTTATTCTTTGTAGTAAGCACAAGTTATACTTTTTACAACTTTGGCCGAATACTTTTGGTTTTGCTCTTTTGAGTAAGATGTTAATATTTTTGCTCCTATAAAATACCCAAATGTCATGTGAAACTGAAAACAAATTTTCTGTCACTTTGTTTATATAAGCAGACTTTGAGAGGCATGCAAATTACATTTAACAGTTTGTGAAATCTTTTTTTCATAGTGAACAATTTTTTATGATTAAAATTTATTTTTAGATTTTTATACTTGAGTAAACTACGTTTATGTAATTTATACCCCCTTGCTCTCCTTTCTCCCACTCTTTCTTGAATTCATGATTTCTTATGTAATTGTTACTGTTACATACATACAAACACACATGTATATATTCACAGCTTCCTGAGTTGTTTAGTGTTACATTAGTGTTGGTGTATACATATATTTAGCGATGATCACTTGATATTTGATAACAGTTCAGGAGGTTTATCCCTGGAAAATAGTGACTTTTCTCTCTCATAGCAAACATTGACTGCTCATTGTTCTTCATCTAGGGGTAGGACCGTATGAAATTTCCTACAACTTCAATTGCATGTGGTGTGGTCATTGTTAAAGTCTTTTTTAGGCAACCATAGTGTTGAGTTTTCATTCCCATTGGTCCTCTGGCTCTTAGAATCTTTTCTCTCCATTTCCCCTGATATTCTCTGAGCTTTAAGCATAGGGGTTGTTTTATAGATTTCCCATTTGGGGCTGGTCATCCCATGGCCATTTATTCCCCGCATTTTTGACCAGTTGTGGTTATTTGCTGCAAAAAGAAGCTCCTTTAATGAGTATTAAGAGTAACACTTATCTGTAGGTATAACAATGGATGCTTAGAATACCACTAGAAGTTATATTGATTTAAAAAATGATAGTAATAATTTATCCTTCAGGATCTGTGACTTCTCCATTCATGGGTACATGACTAAGTTTATGGTACCAGGCATGAATTCTCTTGCATTAGGTGGGCCTTAAGTTCAAATATGCAATATGACAGAGGAGAAATGTAATCTGTAGTCCTACCCAGCTGCTGAACTGACAAACTATAGCAATAACCCAACCAGCAAGATACTCCCAATGATGCAATAGTGGTACTTACCACTTGGGTGTGTTGAACAATTTCTAAGTATTAATGACTTTTCTTCCATATTTATATTTTCTAGTAAGGTGAATTGAGACTTTTTTTTTGGTTTTTCAAGACAGGGGAATTGAGACTTTTATAATTTATTAAACCTATTGTTGTGGTTTATGATCTTCACAAAAGGAAAATTCACTTTATTTTAGAAATGACACTTTATTTGTTACTTTTCTCGCTGCTATGACAGAATACAAGATGGAAAGCAATGAAAGGGAAGAAGGATTTATTGATCTCATAGTTAAAGATGGTACAGTCTTTCATAACAGGGAAGGCATGATAGATAGAGTTCAAGGTGGAAATAACATTCAGGTGGTATTCCTCACATCTGGGAAGAACAGAAATTAAAGGGAGGATATGCTGGCATTGTTCCTCTGTCTTCCATCCAGTCCTGACCTCTGGGGCATAGAATATGTCTCACATGTTCAGAGTGGTGTTTGTCACTTTAGTTTCTTTGGAATCCTCTTTACAGATACATCCAGAAGCTTGTCTCCCAGGTGATTCTAAGTCCTGTTAATGTAGCAGAATAAGATCATAAACACATAGTTTCTTTTGTATTTGTATATATGTACACACACACACACAATTCCATTCAACAAAATTTTAGTTATTTTTGAGGACTAAAGAGTACAGGTAACAGAGACTCAATCAATATTCTGCTAATAGTGAGAATTTTTGGTCAGAGAAGTTGTAGGAAGTAAGTGATTCTAACCATAGCTGTTGATAATTCAGAAAAAACCTAACAGCAAAATGCCACAAAAAACAGAAAACTCAGTAAATCTAGGTTCCATGGAGTTGAACCACAATTTATTAGAGATGCTCCAGACTGTATCTTTATAATGTATCATATTAATTTAGTATAATGACTATATTAAAAGGACACATTTTATATTGTAATCCCATATACTTGGAATGTGTTGTCTGTGGAAAACATGAAGGTAAAGTTCCCTGAAGCAGCTCACCTGAATGTGTGATAGAGTGCTACCCCCATGCCATCTTAGTTTTGTGGATCTCATTCTCTTTGCTTCTCCTTTTCTCCTTCTCTTCCTTTCATCTACCTCTGCTTTTAAAAAGTCTGGATGATATATAATTTTCAAGGTTTTTGTTGTTTTAAGAGCAACTTGCTGTGTAGCCAAAGCTTGGCTGTAACTCAGAATCCCTCCTTGGCTTTTGAGTACTGACTGGGGTTGTAGTTCTGCACAAGCACACCTGGTTTAAAACTGGTTTTTAGTGTCTATTTTCTTCATTTCTCTCATCTCTTTTAACAGTTTCCTAGTATGCCTAAAGCTGTTATTTATATTTTCACTTCATAGTTTTTTTTTTTGCTACTTTATATGTGGCTCATCACAGCTTCAGTTCTTACTGAAATCTTTAAGCTTCCATGGCTAACTGCCTAATTTCTGTGTTTGTTAGTTGAAAGGAAGATTGTGATTATTCTAGTTCATTTTTTCTATACTTAAGTACAGCGAATATTCAAACATACAGAAATAGATTGCATCTTTTAGGTAAGAAGCTTATTCCTATTCTGAATGGGGACTAGTTAGTGTAGATAGTGAAGAGCTAGAGGAGAGAGAGGAGAGAGAGAGAGAGAGAGAGAGAGAGAGAGAGAGAGAGAGAGAGAGAGAGAAAGAGAAAGAGAGAGAGAGAAAGAGAGAGAGAGACAGAGAGACAGAGACAGAGAGAGACAGAGAGAGACAGAGAGAGACAGAGAGAGGAGAAAGAGGTGATATATGAAGGAGAGGGAGAATGAACTTATGTATTTAGGGTGAACTTGTGTAGTGGGTAAGAATTCTTTTACAAATGTCCTTCATTTACTTCATCTCTGATATGAAGGATTATTGGCCTTATACAATTTTCCTATCAAATTGATAGCTACATGCTAGAAGAATATAATAATCAAGTGACTGACACAGTTTTATAGGAATTCAGGGAAATGTCTGTGAGGAATGAAAAAAGTTTCCTTTGTTTTGATCAGTTTCTGTTTTTATTGTTCATAATATAAGGAAATATAAAAATGGAAAGTTCTGTAGATAGCATTCATTTGTATTTGCATATGTTACCACACTTCTGTGGTGTTCTTCCATGAGGTGCCATTTTGTCTTGCCTTCTCTGAAACATAATGAAAAACTCATTAATGGTCTTGCTTTCAATAGTCAAGAGCTGGGTAAGTATAAAAACATTAAAATGGAGGAGATAAGGAGAGCACAGAAAAAAGTAAATTGGTGGAAGACAGGAAGAAGGAAAGAGAGGTGTGAAGAGAGTCAGATTGGGGAAGAGGGAGTGAGAGTGTTGGAAGAAGAGAAAAGATGAAGAGAGATAAAACTATATTTGTTGATTATCAACAGTCTCTCTGCTCTGATTTCTTATTGAATTATAGATACTATAAAGTAATAAGTTTGAAGTTTGAATATAGTTGCCATATAGTAAAGTAACATTACCACTTTCCCCATCTGTAGGTGAGTCTTTCTGTAGATAATTTTGTGTGTGTGTGTGTGTGTGTGTGTGTGTGTTTGGTAGTGGGAATTAAACTTAGTGCATGTAATTTTATATTGTGAACATTTATATAAGATATTTTGACAGCAAGCAAAAGATCACATTTAATATACCTTTATAACTAAGTTTTTGTGACTCAGCATGAATGCTTATGCCTCTTTTCATGCATGAAGTATGTGTGTTTATATTGTACCTGTGTTTGAAGATATCTAGAATATAATAATACTCAAATGCTTTTGTAGGGGAAAATATGCAGTAAAATGTAAGCCCCTATTTGAGTGTAGATACACATTTTAATAAATTAAAATGATTAAGGGTATAATTTTAAAGTGTGATAATTTTTCTTGTCCATAGTAATATCCATGATTCCTGTTTGAAATTTATAGGAATCCATGGGAAAGAGCTATGATGGCAGAGCTTATGTCATCACAGGCATGTGGAACCCCAATGCACCAATATTTCTGGCACTTAATGAAGAAACCCCAAAAGGTGACTGTTCTTAAAATATTTTTATCACTTTATAATTTTATTGTGGGTAATCTTGTTTTGTTACACTTTTAGATAGTACTGATGCTTATTTAAATTGAAGCCATAGGCTGTAGTCCATCAAATCTCATGCCTCTGTAATCTCTATAACTCTTCTTAGGTGTTCTAGTATATCCTCACTCCTTAATTTATTCCTCTGCTCCCTTATGCTCAGGGCAAGTGAATAAGGTATAATGGATTCCTTCCATATCTCAATAGTGGTCTTTACTGGACCAGGGATCAGCAGTACCTAGCACCTACAAAGGTGGTAGAATGAAGTGTTTCCCTTAAGTCTATCAAAATATTAAATGTAGCTAGATATCTACAGTGACTATGCTTAAGTCCAACGCTATGCTTACTTTTACTCACTGTCTTCCTTTACTAGGCTTCCCCCCCACCTTTTTAAATTTAAGTTAGAAACAAGTTTGTTTCACATGTCAATCCCAGCTCCCTTTCCCTCCCCTCCTCTCCTACCCTCCCCACCAGGTCCCCCAGTTTCCTACCCAATCTCCACTCTGATCCTCAGGTAGAGTGAGGCCCTCCATGAGTCTGTCATGTCATCCAGAGCAGGTCTAAGCCCTCTCCCAAGAGTCCAGGCTGAGAGAACATCCCTTGTTGTGGGATGGGCACTCAAAGTCTATTTGTGTGCCAGGAATAAATACTACCCAAGGCCCCATAGATTACCTAGGCCTCCTCACTGACACCCAGATTCAGGGGGTCTGGGGAAGTCACATGCTTTACACACAGCCATCAATCTGGGGTCCAAGCGCTCCCCCTTGTTCAGGTCAACTGTTTCTGTGGGTTACACCAGCCCAGTCTTAACTCCTTTGCCCATCAGTTCTCCCTTTCTAACACTGGATTCCAGGAGTTCAGTTCAGTGTTTATCTGTGGGTATCTGCCTCTGCTTTCATCAGTCACTGGATGAAGGTTCTGTTTCCCAGACTCTATGGCAATGGGATTGTATGCTGGCACTCCCCTGTTTCATGTCTAAAATCCATAAATGAATGAGTACATACCATGTTTCTCTTTTTGTGACTGGGTTACCTCACTCAGGATGGTTTCTTCTAGTGCCACCCATTTGCCTGCAAATTTCAAGATTCCATTGTTTTTTTCTGCTGAATAGTACTTCATTGTGTAAACGTAGGACATTTTCTCTATCCACTCTTCAGTTGAGGGGCATCTATGTTGCTTCCAGGTTCTGGCTATTACAAATAATGTGACTATGAACATAGTGGAACAGATGTCCTTGTTGCATGAATGTGCCTCTTTTGGGTATATGCTTAAAAGTGGAATTGTTGGGTCTTGTGGTAGACTCAGACCCATTTTCCTGAGGAATCTCCATATTGATTTCCAGAGTGGCTGTACGATTTGACACTCCCACCACACGTTATTGTTATTGTTGCTGGGAATTCAACCCAGGGCATTTCTCAATTTCTCCACAGTCTTTATTTTTTTGTATTAAGGATTTGATTTAGAAAATGGAAAAAGACATCTGTCAGGATATTTAGATTCTTGCTTATGATAGAATTAACAATGATTGAGAAACATTCTTGGAATATTTGATTACTTATTTAGTGAATAGTTAGAAAATATTTAATAATGAATATATAGAAGGTAATATGCTTGTCTAGAACTGAAATTCTTGTATAAGCCAGGAGATTTTGTTTTCTTTACTAATCAAGAAATAATAAACCCCAGAAATTTTCTGTTGCAGATAAAAGGGTGTACATGACTGTGGCAGTGGACATGGTAGTCACAGAGGTGGTGGAGCCAGTTCGCTTTCTCCTGGAGACAGTAGTTCGTGTATACCCTGCAAATGAAAGATTTTGGTATTTCAGTAGAAAGACTTTTACAGAGACTTTCTTCATGAGGTTGAAGCAGGTAGGATGTTTTTGTTCTTTGTGTAGTAGCATTGTTTCCTCTCAATCTCTTTTCTTTATTTTCTTTCCTTCTCTTTTTTTCTTATTTGATAGGATCTTATGTACCTAAGTGACTTCACACTGATTAAGTAGCTAAGGATGATCTTTAGCTTTTCTCTGTGTCCCACGCTCTAGGATTATAGATGTATGCCACCAGAAACTGTGCATTGCTACAGCTCAAACCAAGACCTCTACCTACCAACTGTGTTATATCCCTAGTCCACCCACCTTTTATTTTTAATGCAAATACAATGTAAATATACCCCCTTACATCACAATAAAAGCAGTGAAATTCCTTTAGAAAAATCAAGTGGTATTTGAAGTCAATCAGTGGGATGAAAACTTCACATTTAGGTAATGTACAAGTTATTATGTGTCTAAATAAATCTGAATTCAAGTACCTATAAAGTATTATATTTAGTAGAAATACTGTTCAGTAAAAAACAAAATTTTCTGCCCTAATCTACAATTACTTGAAACACTAACCCCCCAAACAAAACAACAACAACAAAAAACAAATAACAAAAACCCAACAGCGTCTCCCCAAAATAAACAGATACAGAAACATTCTATGATTATAAAGTTAAAATTAAAAAAATGCAAGTATATCTAACAGTGATCCCTATTTGCAATATTATGTAACCCATATAAGTTTCTCACTTTGCTTATCAGTCCACTTCTCTCATGGCTGGGGACCCCATCTGGCTTAGACCCATGCAGGCCCTCTCCCCCCTCCACAGTAAGGAAGGCTTTTTCCAGGGAGAGTTACAATTAGGATTTTCCATAGTGACCATGTGTAAGACTTCAGTGTCTCTTGTTACATCTCTAAAGGCTTCTATAATCTCCATTTTGCTTTACACACACACACACACACACACACACACACACACACACACACACATTATTTTATCTGTTTTTTCCCTTCATCTTCTATTACCCTTTTTTCTTCTTTCTGTTTTTGAGTTTAAGAAAACACTACTAAGTGACCTATAACAGAGATACAGTCTCCTCTATCCCCTCTCTAACAAGTGGATTATTTCAGTAACAAATGACCCAGTAGGCTTATTACTTCTAAAAGAGTGTATGACAGAAAGTCTATTTGAATATACGAGCAAGGGAGTAATATAAATGTTTAACGATGGAATTTTGCCTCTCTTATTGCTTGTTCAATATTTTGTTGACAAGGTGCATGTTCATGCATGTGGGGTATACATATTATGTGTATGCTGAAGCCAGAGGTCAAATTCAGGTGTTGCCTTTAGGTACTTATACTATACTCCAATTTTGAGACAGTTACAAGCTGAATTTGGAGCTTGCCGATTCAGTAGGCTGGTTGGCTAGCATTCTCCATCTGGACAGCACTGAGATTACTGTGTCCTGCCCACCTTTTTAATGTGGGTGCTGGAGGTCAGACCAAGGTCCTAACAGTTTCATGTCAGCAGTTTACCAACTGAACTCTCTCACCAGATCCTAATACATTGTTCAACATTAGGAAATCTGTTTTGCTTTCTATAAAAATGACTGATACTTTTCCTAGTGTCAGATGTATAGAAGTGCTTTTAGTTTGTTTTTGATTTTTAGGTAAGATTTGGGAGATTATTCTGGCCTCAAACTTACTATATAGATGAAGATGTCCTTAGATTTTTGATCCTTCTGCCTGTCTTACAAATACTGGGGTTGCAGGTGTGTGATATCACATCTAGTTTTATGTGAAGATGGAGATTTGAGTCCAAAGCTTTGGACATAGTAAACAAGCACTGTGAAATGCAGTGGAATTGATGGAAGTAGACTTGTTTGTAGGCGTGAAAGAATAGGCATATAGAGATAGGAACTTGGAAAACTTGGAAAATGCAGCATTCACTTCAGCGAATTAATTGGTTTTGAGAATACAGTCTGCCTGAAAGATAGGTGATTTGAGTGATTTTGTAAGGTTTCTATAAAATAGTTTAATTCTTAAAAAGTCAGCTGAGCTAGTAGCAGCTCTGAAAAGGTGGGTGGCTTTTGATTTCTTTCTTATTCTGGGAATATGTGATAAATTACAAGAAACAGTCTGAGGTACATAAGACAAAATTAAGCAAAAATAAACAGAAAACACAAAAACCAGTGTTCTAAAAGAAATGGTCATATGATATTAACTTTAAAGTAATAGCAGTGTTATCCGTGATAGTCATCTATGAAATAACACTGATAACAGGATAACATATATAAAATAGATGAGGATTGCTCCCCGTCTCTGCCTCTATCTCTTCCTATAGATTTTCACTCTATAGCTCCATCTGACCTGGAACTCATTTTGTAGCCCAGATTGGCCTCACAGTTGATGGCAGTCCTTCTGCCTCAGCCTCCAAAATGTTGAGATTATAGACATTAGTCACTATTTCAGCTCTAGCTTGTCATTTCATAATTAAAATTAGTAAGGTTTGAATAATAGCATATATGATGTCATGTTGAACAAATGTTCTGAAAAACATTGCTGCTTATTGTGGAGAGTTTCAACTCTAATAATAAACGAATTGCATTTATTTATTGGAACATCTGTTCTGAAGCGATATTCTGAATTTTATACTGACTGCACCCCTTATTTATATGTATTGTTAGATGTCATGGTTTTGGATTTAAACAGATGATGTAAGCATTTAGAACTTATATACAAAATAAGTGTGTCAGATGGACTGCTCCACCATAGACAGTAAAAACTAAGCCCTGGCAGGAATCCCTCTCTCTCTAACGCAGTTTCCTCACTTTAAAGTCAGAGTGTGGGTTGATAGTATTACTGAAGGCCTTTTTGACATTGGGATTATTAATCAGGAGCTTCAGTGAAGATAATTCAGTGGCTGTCACAGTCAGATTATCTGAAGGACATGTTACTTTTGATAGCTGTGGTATAGTGTCTGCAATAATGGTATAGTGTTTAAATTAAACTCGCACACTCCACTGGATGTCCTTTCTATTAATAAGGAAATATATAGACAGCATGTATAGCTATACATATAATACATGCCAAGTGAAAAGAATGTCCAGTGCTATGTGTGGTGTTTTAGATGTAGGGAACCACAGCAGTAAAATGGCATGGGCGATAAAAGAGCTCCTTTGAGGAAATATATGTTGTTTTTAATAAGCATTGTAGAATTTGAGAGTAGAACCTGTGTTCGCATTTAAGATAATGCATATATTGGTGACTTTGCTGCTTAATTTTTAGTCTTTTTAATATTTTGAAATAGGTGACTCTTACTGAGGTATCTAGGCTAGCCTCACACACTGTGATTCTCCTGCATTATAATGCCTCCTGAATAGCTGTCATTGCAGGTATATTCTGCCTCACTGAGCTGTGTTATTGAAACCAAGCAGACTCTCTTTCAAAAATGAATAGAAGGCATACTATGGTATTGAGTGTTTTTAAATTAAAAATTTTACCAAGCAATCAGTGATTGCTGAAAACTGCACTTTTTTTTCTAGTAATGTTCAATCCCAAGTGGTCAGCCCTAAATACATGTATATGTAAGCAACAATAAATGTACTCAGTAGCTTGTGTGAATGTATATTTATGAGTTGGAGGGAAAAGAGACATGCATGGAAATGATGTCAATATAGCACTTATGTGTGATATTCTAAAGAAAATAAAACTTAAATTTAACCATCAATGAGACTAAGGGCTATAAGTTCAAGATGGCCTGTCTTGTGTGTGTCTGGGGGAATTATGGCAAAGGAGAAGTGTCTTGTTGATTGGTGGGATGCCTCTACACAGAAGGCATGTGTGTTTCTTTTCAGGTGTAGTACATGCTTTGGCGATTTTGATTTTGTAGTATCATTGGCATGAGAAGCTGGCTTCATTTCCTCTGAATGTAAGACTCATTAGCAGAAGGTCTGGGCTTTTCCTTACAGTCATCTTCGTTATTGAAGGAATTTATGTTTTGGTGACTCTAGGTCTTAGCTGATTTCATCATCACTTTTTAGACTATAACATGACAATAAATGGAAATACTAATGATTTGATACCAGGTATGAAACTAGTCCTCTATTCTGTCATTTGGTTATGTTTATGAGCTGTTAATTTATCTGTAAAGTGGAGATAATGTCTACCACATAGTGTTGTCTGGTTGTTTATGCATTCATTCAACAAATAATAAGTGTCTCCTTGGTGGCATTAATTGATAAGGCTCTGTCTTAAGTGTAGGTTCAATGTTAAAATATCATGTATTTTCCTGATATTTCTATCTAATTGTTGCCTTATTGGCTGAGGGTTGTTTGGGTCAATTTAACTTAGAAATCATATGAAGGAAAAGTAGTATTATAGCCCTGACCAGAGGCTCTTAGCAGCTGGTGGGTGTTAATAGTTTTCCTAGCTGCTCTTGGCAGGACCTCTAAGCACACACACAGTAGTTGGAGTCAGTGACTGCCAGAAGCTTTTGGCAGCTCTTATTGCTGGATTAGCAACCTCTGACAGTTCTGGAGCTTTTCCAGCAGCTTTGAGCACTCCCAGGCATCTCAGATTTTGGTAGCTCTATCATGTCTCTGGATTATGGGCAGTTTCTCTTATTGTAACTCTTGGTAGTAATGTCATCAGATCAGTTCCCTCTGATTGAGATACAAATTATGTATATGGTGGATTTGGATATGACTTAATATGTAGAGTGCTTGATAGTGTGCTGGAAGCCATGTGTTTGAGCCATAGCATGATACCATACACCTATAATCCCAGCACTCAGGAGGTAGATGCAAGAGGGAGGATCAGGAGTTTAAGGTCATTCTTGGCTACATAGCAAGTTCTAGGCCAGCCTGGGCTACCTGAGATACTGGCACAAACAAAAAACAATAAAACCATCCTAGGAAGATTTTCTTAGGGTCCATGCTATATAGCACATAGTGCAGAACAGGGCATATATCTCCTAGACGGACTTGAGAAGGATATGAAGAATGCTGCATACATAGCTGAAAAGGTTAGGCCTACACACATGTCATCTTCTGACTAGTAACACAGACTTTCTGTATTGTTTCTCAGTCTGTACAGGCATACTGGACTTGTCTGTCCTGACTCTCATTGGTGAGAGAGATGTTTTTCAGGAACTGGATTAGGGACATCTAAAGAGGTTACAGCATTAGGGGGAGGATGTCTGGAGTAGTCATAGTAGTACCCCGGTGAAGTATTCTTATTGACCATGCCAACTATGGCAGTGAAGCAAGGTTTTCTTAGCACCCGAGGGCGGGATACCTCACTCAGGATGTTTTTTTTCTAGTTCTGTCCATTTGCCTGCATATTTAGGATGTTATTGTTTCTTTCTTTCTTTTTTTTTTTTTTTCGAGACAGAGTTTCTCTGTATTGTTTTGGAGCCTGTCCTGGAACTCGCTCTGTAGACCAGACTTGGTCTCGAACTCACAGAAATCCACCTGCCTCTGCCTCCCGAGTGCTGGGATTAAAGGCGTGCGTCACCACCACCCGGCAGATGTTATTGTTTCTTACTGCTGAGTAGTACTCCATTGTGTAAATATACCATATTTTCTTTATCCATTCTTCAGTTGAGGAACATCTAGGTTGTTTCCAAGATCTGGCTATTATGATCATTTGCCATACTGATTTCCACAAGTAGAGTCCAAACTCACCTGAAATGGAGCACGGCAGGGGTGTGTGTGTGTGTGTGTGTGTGTGTGTGTGTGTGTGTGTGTGTGTGTATGTGTGTGTGTGTGAGCCAAGAGTGGGGTGTGGCAGGACTCAAGTCCTTCCTGTCTGCTCATTTTATTCTTACATATAATTCGTGATTTGACTTTTATGTATTTGATTTAAAATATATTTATTGCAATTGCTACATTTATATATGTAAAAATATAGATTTGCTTAATATATATTTTGTGTATAGGTAGCATTTTAAAATTTAATTATCATATTAATAGTTAATATTCCTTGTAGATAATTATATAATATTAACAGTATATGTATTTATTGACATATATAACAGTGAGTTTCAATATGACATTTTGATACATGTACACAATGTATTTTGATCATAATCATATCCCCCCATTATCCTCTCTTGTTCTCTTCCTACTGTCATTAATCCTTTTCCTCTTCTCAACTATCCCCATTTTTTTATTTGGGGTTGTTTGCAGGTATATGAACAATTCACTGGTGACTAAACTATTGAAGAAAGTATATCCCCATCCCCATCAGTTTTTAAATGCATGTAAATCCTTAGGAATGTGTGGAGCCCCATGATCCCTTGATCTTCTATCACAGAGTGTTTTCTGATCCAATCTTTTTTTTTTCTTTTTTCTTTTTGGTTTTACGATACAGGGTTTCTCTGTATTGTTTTTGAGGCTGTCGTTCCAGCCTGTCCTCGAACTCACAGAGATCTGCCTGCCTCTTCCTCCCGAGTGCTGGGATTAAAGGCGTGCGCCACCGCCGCCCGGCTTCTGGTCCAATCTTGTACACATAATCACAGCTGCTGTGAGTTGTCATGCCCGAAAATGTTCTATCCCATACCCTAACCCTCTTAAACTTTTTCTGTCCCTTCTTCCATGTTGTTCTGAGCCTTGGATGGATGATATAGTTGTCCCATTTATGGCTGGGCATTCAAAAGTCATTTATTGAACACTTAATGAGAGTCTGAAGTCACTGCTGAGTAAGGAGAAAGCTATCTTTACCACATCTGATGGATAGTAGTACTAGTTTGCAGGTACAGTTATTTAGAAAGCAATTTGACAGCTATATCATGTCCCTTTAGCAAAAGAGCTGCAACAGCTTTCTTACTGTGACCTATGACCTCCTCAGTTATGAACTTTTGACCTGGTTTCTGGGACCAGATTTGAATTTCTTCCTCTGAACCAGGCAACAAATGTAATTATAAAGTGGTTGTTTATCCTAATAACAGACTTGCTGCAATTGCACCAGTGGATTCATTTGGTCAACTGGTGAGTATTATTGCAAACAACATTCATAGCTGAGTCAGACTGTTGATAATTTTTCTCTAGTAAACTGGCAAATAGCTGAGCTTGATTTGCTAATGCAGGTAAATTGTCGTATGTTGCTACAAATTGATCCCAGGGCCTTGTGCACCCCAGACAGGTACTCTGCCACTGAATCACAATCATATTCAAGATTTTCTAATGCTTAATTAAGATTTTTGTCTATTTTATGAAGGATATTAGTCTGTGGTTTAGGCATTGAAGTATTGGTCCCAGATGGTGATATAATTTATCTTGTCCTTCATCCCTTCCTAAGTTGCTGTTTGTTTGCCTCATATGTGCCATGAGGTGAGTCACTTCATGTTTTGACAGTAACCATGATAATCTTTTATAAGTATTCATAATTGTAGTAAATCTCCCTGAATACTTTGTTTAGATGTTACTCAGTAGTATGACCTGCTGTGTTTTCACTTTTAATTCAGAAGTGTGTTCTAATTTAAACATTCCTCCTTTTTTTTTTTTAAAGACAGGGTCCATGTAACTGAGCCTGGCTTTGAACTTGAACTCCTGATCCCCCTGTCTCTGCTTTCCAAGTGCTAGGATTATGGATGTGTACCACCATGGTGCAGTCGGTAGCATGCTTTCTGGGCAACCATGGAGACCTAAGTTTAGATCCCAAGCCTAGACTCAGAAAAGAAAACAGGCCACATAGAGTTCAAGCCATTAGTTGGCAAGTCTAGCTGTTATTTCATTCTCAGTATGAGGTAGCCAGTAAAAATAAAACAAAACAAAACACACACACAAGAACATCATTTGCTGCCTGTCCTAAAACTTGATACGTTGAAGAATAATTGAATTGTATCAAAATGGTTAGTAAGTTGAATTTGTTAATGCTAGAAACTTACCAACATGTACAGATATCAGCACTCGAGGAAAATGGTAGGTAAATCATTCACTTACAATATGCCAAGGACATTGTTCTAAAAAAATGTCTCAAATTCAGATATGCTCTAGATAAATGCTTTTCATTTTAACTGTTTTTAATGAACCATTATTATACCATTTATTCCTTATTGATTTATATTTGTTCCTCCATCCTTAACTCCTCCCAGGTTTATGTCACTTACATTTATATTTCTAATACTTAAATATATTATCTTTTTTCAGTCCGAGGGAAAAGGCCATAGCAGCGCTGGAGATGCAATATATGAAGTGGTGAGTCTGCAGAGAGAGTCTGACAAGGAGGAGCCAGTCACTCCTACTAGTGGAGGAGGGCCAATGTCACCCCAAGAGGATGAAGCAGAAGAAGGTAAGAACTTGAATGTATTCAAAAGTGGTGTGTGTGTGTGTGTGTGTGTGTGTGTGTGTGTGTGTGTGTGTGTGTGTGTGTGTATACAAGCATCCTCACTCTGGGGGTGGGCAGTGATAGTTATTCCTATTTCCTGATACACTTATGTTAGATTCTTTGACGTGCAGAAGGAGATTTGGTCCATTTGGTTCTTTCTTTGGCTGCATAGTCCCCAGTGCCTAAGCACTAGTAAGCAGCTATTTAAACTTGGTAATATTGCTGTGCTATTTTGCTTCCTATTTTATTTCAAGTATTTCTGAATTATTTAATGAGAAGTTTCAAATTCTCTGAAGTATTGTTAGAATTTCAGTGATATGTTCTGCTTATCAGTTTCCACCCATTTTTGTTGTTTCTATATTCTTCACCACTTCTTTGAAGTAGCACACTATTTGTTCTGTTTACTACATGAATTCTAGCGAGAGCTGCTCAAAAGACTTTTATGTCATCTGGCTATGTACACAGAGATCTTCATAGCAACTAGGGCTAAAATGACAGGTCTTAGTCTTAAGCTCTTACATGATTGTTTCCAATATGGGGGTTGTTAAAAGTACATTTATTTTCCTTTTGTTTTAAAAAAGATTTTTTATTTTACTTTTATGTGTGCATGAACATATATGTGTCCGTGTAGGCCAGAAGAGGGTGTTAGATCCCTTGGGACTAGAGTCATAGGTAGCTGTAAACTACCTGAAGTGGCTGGTGGGTGCTTCTCTGTAAGAGGAAAAGTGCTCTTAACTGCTAATCCATCTCTGCAGCTCAACCAGATTAATATATTAATACCATGTTTGGAAAAAAACCTTAAAATTCTGTTTCTTTATATGTATTTATATAATTTTGACAGCCATAAAATGAATTATTATTGACTAATAATTATTATTTTTTTATTTGTGAGGCATTATTTTTTCTAATATGTCAACTAATTTCATTGTTTTTTAATTGTACACATACTTTTATTAAGTTGGCTTTAGGGATGAAACTAAGGCACAGAGAACATAAGGCATTTGCTTATGTCATTTAGCTGCAAGGGCCAGTGTTGATGTCTGAACCCAGACTGTCTGATTCTACTGTGACATTAGACAAGTTACTAAAATTTATAAGCAACTTTTTAGAACTAAGGCAAGTTTCCATAACAGAATTAGCCATTTGTTGGTGGCGCACGCCTTTAATCCCAGCTCCCGGGAGGCAGAGGCAGGAGGATCTCCGTGAGTTCGAGGCCAGCCTGGTCTCCACAGTGTGCTCCGGGACAGCCCCCAAAGCCACGGGGAAACCCTGCCTTGTAAAATTAAAAAAAAGAAGCATGTAATATGTTAATGTTGTTAAGAAACCACCTTTTTCCCTCAATATATGTTTTTATTTAAATTAGAAACATGCATGCTTCACATGTCAATCCCAGCTCCTTCTCCTTCCCCTCCTCCCTTGTCCCTCCACCAGCCCTCCTCAGCACCCCCCCACAGTCCCCACATCATTCCCCAGGGAGGGTGAGGCCCTCCTTGGGGGGTGGGATCTCCAGAGTCTGTCATTTCATCCAGGGCAGGACCTAGGTCCTCCCCATGTGTCCAGGCTGAGAGAGCATCTCTGTATTTGGAATGGGCTCCCAAAGTTCATTTGTATGTCATGGTGAACACTAATCTACTACCCAAAGCCACAGAGTTTTCTGAGGCCTCCTCACTGACACTGTATTCATGGAGTCTGGATCAGTCCCCTATTGGCCTCTCAGCCATCAGTCTGGGATTCAAGAGCTCCCCCTTGTCCGGTCAGCTGTCTTTGTGGGTTTCAACAGCACAGTCTTGACCCCTTTGCTCATCATATCTCCCTCTCTGTCACTGGGTTCCAGGAGATCAGTTCAGTGTTTAGCTGTGGGTATCTGTCTCTGCTTCCATCAGTCACTGGATGAAGGTCCTAGGATGGCATATAAGGTAGTCTTCAATCTTATTATCAGGGAAGGGCATTTAATGTAGTCTCTCCGCTATTGCTTAGTTGCCAGTTGTTGTTATCCTTGTAAATCTCTGGAAATCTCACTAGTGTCAGTTCTCTCCTCAAACCTATAATGACTCCATTTTTATGGTATCTCTCATCCTACTCTCCTCTATTCTTACCCCAACTCAACCTTCCTGCTCTCCCATGTCTTCTTCTCCCCTCCTCTTATTCTCCTCTCTTTTTCCTGGTTCCCTCTCCCTTCCCCCCATGTTCCCAATCTGCTCAGGAGATCTTGCCTTATTCCACTTCTCTGGGGTATCATGCATATCTCATGGGAACCTCCCTGTTTCCCAGACTCACAGACACTGGGATTGTAGGCTGGCACACCCCTGATTCATGTCTAAAATCCATATATGAGTGAGTACATACCATGTTTCTCTTTTTGTGACTGGGTTACCTCACTCAGGATGGTTTCTTCTAGTGCCATCCATTGCCTGCAAATTTCAAGATTCCATTGTTTTTTTCTGCTGAATAGTACTCTACCACATTTTCTCTATCCACTCTTCAGTTGAGGGGCATCTAGGTTGCTTCCAGGATCTAGGTATTACAAATAATGCTGCTATGAACATAGTGGAACAGACACCCTTGTTGTATGAATGTGCATCTTTTGGGTATATGCCTAAGAGTGGAATTGTTGGTGTGGTAGACTGATTCCAATTTTCCTGAGGAATCTCCATACTGATTTCCAAAGTTGCTGTACCAGTCGGCACTCCCACCAGCAGTAAATGAGTGTTCCCCTTTCTCCACATCCTCTCCAGCATAAGCTGTCATTGGTGTTTTTGATTTTAGCCACTCTGACAGGAGTAAGATGATATCTCAGGGTTGTTTTGATTTTCATTTTCCTAATGGCTAAGGATGTTGAGTACTTTTTTTTTTATTATTTCAATTTTAAATAGCTTGCTTTACATGTCAATCCCAGTTCCCTCTCCCTCCCCTCCTCTCTCACCTTTCCACCATCCCCTCCAGCCTCCCATCCTATCCCCACTTCCTTCCACATAGGGGATGTCCAGAGTCTATCATTTCGCTCAGATCAGGGCCCAGGCACTCCCCTAAGAGTCCAGGCTGAGAGATCATCCCTCTTTGTGTTATGGACACATGAAGTCCGTTGGTATGCCAGGGATAAACACTGATCCACTGCCCAGGGCCCCATAGGTTGCTCAGGCCTACTCACTGACTCTCACACTTAGGGGGTCTGGATCAGTCCCATGCTGGCCTCCCAGCTGTGGGTCTGGGGTCCAAGAGCTCCCCCTTGTTCAAATTACCTGTCTCTGCTGGTTTCGCCAGCCCATTCTTTGCCAATTTGCTCATTGCTCCTCTCTCTCTGTCACTGAGTTCCATAGGTTCAGTTCAGTGTTTAATTGTGGGTGTTTGCCTCTGCTTCCATCAGTCACTGGATGAAGGTTTTAGGATGGCATATAAGGTAGACGTCAAGTTCATTATCAGGAATGGGCATTTAAGATAGTTTCTCCACTATTGCTTATCTTGCCAGTTGGTGTCATCCTTTTAGATCACTAGAGATCTCACTGGTGCCAGATCTCTCTTCAAACCTATGACTCCCTCTATTACAGTATTTCTCATCCTGTTCTACCCCTAAGGATGTTGAGCACTTTCTTAAGTGTCTCTCAGCCATTTTAGACTCCTCTACTGAGAATTCTCTACTTAGTTCTGTCCCCCACTTTTTAATTGGATCTTTTGGTGTTTTGGAGACTTGCTTCTTGAGTTCCTTGTAAATTTTGGAGATCAGCCCTCTGTCAGATGTGGGGTTAGTGAATATCTTTTCTCAATCTGTGGGTTGCCTTTTTGTCTTGCTGACTGTGTCCTTTGCGTAACAGAAGCTTCTCAGTTTCAAGATGTCCCATTTATTAATTGTCGATTTCAGTGTTTGTGCTACTGGTGTTATATTCAGGAAGTGGTCTCCTATACCAGTTTGTTCAAGGGTACTTCCCACTTTCTCTTCTAACAAGTTCAGTGTGGCTGGATTTATGTTGAGGTCTTCAATCCATTTGGACTTAAGTTTTGTGCATGGCGGTAGACATGGATCTACCTGAAGTCTTTTACCTGCCAATATCCAGTTATGCCAGCACAATTTGTTGAATATGCTATCTTTTTTCCATTGTATAATTTTAGCTTCTTTGTCCAAAATCAGCTGTTCATAGTTTTGTGGATTAATCTCAGGGTTTTCAATTCTATTTTTTTGGTCTACCTGTCTTATTTTTGTGCCAATACCAAGCTGTTTTCAGGACTGTAACTCTATAATAGAGCTTGAAGTCAGGGATGGTGATGCCTGCAGACGCTGCTTTGTTGAGTTTCCCTTCAGATCACATAAATCTTTTGCTTTTTACCATGCTCAAGAAACCACCTTTTTACTTTCAAAAATTTCCATTGCCCAAGAAGTAAAAATTGTTATCTAAGAAGTCACTCTTGCTTCTCCTTACCCTAGCCCCTGGCAACCACTAATTTGCATTTTTTGTTTTTTTTTTCCTTGTCTGGGTGATTAATGTAATTAGAAGTATAAAAATACTGCATTTCATATGTGGTGTCCTTTACTTGACCTAATAGTTTTGACATAGTCTTCATTAATATATGTTGCAGCATATATTAATATTTCATACTTTCCATGTCTGAATAATAGTGTAGTAGTTGTGCCTAATATTTTCCATTTACCAGGTGAGGCATATTTTTGAGTTATTGGACCAGTTAGATATTATAAAGAATATAATGAGTATGAAATTATTATTTGTTTATATGAAATCATTATGTATCCAAGGTCAGTGCAGAGAAAACAACAATGTGAAATATAAATATTAAATATACTTTTGAATATATATATTTATTTTTTGGGATAAAAATCTACCAGTAGGCTGATATATTAAACATTATCTATATAGGAAACCAGCTTTCCAAAGTAGCTGTACCATGTTTTCATCAAGACAATCAAAAGGAGTTCTTTGCTTTCATGTGATTATTTGTTCTTTGTATCATATGTC